GTATATTAATGAGCTTTCTCTAATGGCACACTGGACCTATTTAGCACTATAACTGTGAAGGCTTCTCTTTTTCAGTCATAACTCATTTCCTAAGAAAATGTCAGTTATTGCTTCACCTTATGGCCTGAGCTGTTTAGTTTGTAGTTTATTTCTTCTGATCTGTACCACTGACAGATATTCTAGACATGACTGTGATTAAGTATGCTTATGAAAATGGTAAACATCTGATGATATAAAGCCTCTTGGGAGTATGCTGTTCTTTCTGCACGGCAATATTCTCAGGTGCATTCAAAGTATAATATGGAAGCAAAGAAAAAGCATTTTAAGCAATTACGGTTATTAGATTAAATCGTTTTGTTAGGAAGATTGTGATGTGTTTAGATCACTGTGAGATAATGTAGTGTTTTCATAAATATGCCTTTTAAATGCATGATATTGCAGCAGTTACACTCCAGTGAGATTTTAGTGTAAAATAAAAGTAATGGATGTATTTCCATAAGGCAATGAACTAATTTGGTCTTGTAAATTTCTGCAGCATATTTTTTCCTGGTAGAAGCCCTATTCTAGAAGCAACAGTAGTTATAAAATCCAGTAATTGCATCATGCTATTTACTGTAATCATGTGGTGTTGTTTTGTGTCTGTGCTCAGATGTGTGTAGCATAGCAGTGTCTGAAGCACACATTAACAGTCTCACAATAAAGACAAAAGTAGCAATTGCAAAATAATTATTTTTATTGATGAACTTGTTTAAGAGCTCTGTTGACATTTACAGACTTTGAGGATCATGCAGCGTTTGTTACAGTTATCCCAGGCATCAAACGTCAACAAAATGTTTAAGACTGTAGGATTAAGCAGTGACAGATTGGGGCCAGATGTCTGGGAGATACTGTAAGTAGCCTTCTCAGTTGATCAGATAGCTCTTGCCATCCTAAAGCCCTTTGGAAATTGAACATTTGTTCTTTGTGGTTGAAGCTGAGACACTTGTGGGATTGATGGATCTTCCTGGAGGTTGTTTGAAAAGGAGAATGCGCACCCCATTTCTTCAGGAGTAGTTTTATTCAGTGTATATATGAATATAAATACACTGCAAGTGGCAAGGGTAGGTGGAAGGGTTAGAAGTGTTGGTGAGTAGCAATGATGCCCAAGAATTACCTTACAGTTTCCTCAGCAACCCAGTTGAAGTTATCTTGTCCTTGTACAACTATACAGCTGAGATACTGTAGAGGAGCAGTGCTCTTTCCATCTGTGGACTTGTGGGGAGAAACTGCAAGGGACACAGTCAGCAGATCCAGCAAGAAATGACAGAGCTGGAATAGGTTTTCCTGGAGTCCTTCAAAGTGCAGACCTTTCTGCAGCTCAGAGTGGATTCTCTCAGCCCCATGCTTTTCAGCTCTTTGCACCAACTCCCTTCCTCCCTCCCTCTCAGGCCTTTCACCTTCACCTTTGTACATCACCTTCCCCTCTTCTTGCCACTTACCAGCAAGGTTCTTGCTTCCACTCCTTCTCCGTTGATTTTCTTCCTGTTTAGCCAGCTCTACCTTTAGCAACCCCACCTCCTTGAAAATGTGAGCGCTGGAGTCATATTGTTCTCTTTGCTGGTGTATTCTCCCACCTTACATGTTTACACTGAATTTATCACAGCATTGTGACTGTCCCACTATCTGCAGTCCATCTTAATAGAGCTGGATAATACAAATAATACAAATTAGGAAATAATAGTATAAATGACAAAAGCCCTAAAAGTCCAGGCATATGTGGTAGTGTAGGAACGTTACTGCTGAAGGCATTAGACATTTGGATTGTATGTTGGTACCAAAAAAAGGCTGTTGACCACAGTAAAAGGGTAGTAAACCGTATTTGTTTGAGTGTTGTTGTGCATTGTAGCTCTGAGCATTTATGGTAGGGCCTGTTCCTTCTCTTCCTGAAGTCTCAATCCAGAAAACTCTTAAACATATGTGCTTTCATGTGTTTTAAATTAAGCTCGTGTTTAGATGTTGTAGGACATTTGCCATTGGAATTTTTGCTACTGACATCAATGAGAATGGAGCTGGACCTTTAATTAGTTTGGATTATTCTGCATACTTTCCTACTTTGCATTAAGCTGTAGATATGGAGCTGAAGACTGGTAATCTGTTAGAAAAACATTCTGAGGGTCAAGATCCTTCATTCGTGACTGAATAGCTGAGAAGTTACTTCTGTGATCTAACGGGTCTTCCAGGCCTGAGACAACATGGAGACAAGAAGGATCTTGTGGAGTGTCACTGTAGTGCTTCTGGTGCCAATGGGGTGTAAAGTGTGCCAAAGACCCAAAACCAAGGAACATTGTTATATAATGCCCTTCTGGGCTAGGTTTCTGATGTCTGTATGTGCGAAACAGAAACTCCTTTAGAGAGATGAGTGGAGCAGGTAGAAAGGACTCATGACAGAGTCAGGGGAGAGTCTGCTCAGTTCGGGAGGAAGGAATGGCACACGTGGCGGGACAGCATGAACAACTGAAGGGGGAAGCTTGGTCTTCCTGCTCACCTGGGATGCAGGTGAATGAGGTGGCAGCGCTGAGCTGCAAAATAATTTTGTAGCCTGTGGGCCTAATTCTCACCTTACCTTGTGGTTACATATTGGCGAGTGAAACTGAGAAGAGCTGGTCTGTTGATCTGAAAATGAAAGGGATATTGGTTCAAAGGGGATGATACAACACTGTGCACAAAACAGTAATCAAAGGAGACTGAAGAAAGGGGAGAGGGAGAGGGAGAAGAGAGGAAGCTGGGGAACAAAGTGGAAACAAGTGATCTTTAGGACCTCAGAAAATTTAATCCGTTTACCAGTCTGGCTTTGTGGAATGTCTTACGAGGACTGTGAATTTGCCAAACTCTGCTTTATTTTTCATGGACTTCAGCATATTTGCACATTTCAGATTGCTTTGTTCTGAATCCTTGCCAGATTCTTAGTGATGATGAAGAAGAAAGTTTGTTTCTTTTTAAGCCTTGGTGGCTTGGTCACTTCCAGAACTCCCCTGCCTCCCTGCATCAGCTCAAGGGTTCAGAGGGGAGTCATGGCCAAACAAACTTCAAAGACGTAGACTGCATGTCTCCAGGTGACTCAGTGGATCTATCATGATAGTTGTGATGGGGAAAGATGGAAATACGTACATATCAGATAGTTGTCTGCACACATAGACCCAAATATGCCATTCAGACAGAAGTATCTGCCCAGGGCAGTAAAATATTTAGGGCAGTAAAAGCCATAGTGATCCACTCATGTGTGAGTGGCTGCAAAAGGCAGAAATTTGCAGTCTGCCAGGAAACCCTCTGGTGGGTGCCCGTGTGTTGGAGTGCATCCGTGTGTTTAATTTGTAGTGTGCAGAGCTGATGTGCATCCAAAGACAGAGCACAGCCTGCAAACTGAAGCACTAGCTGGAGAATCCAGATCACTTTGTTCCCTGTGTTGAGGTACACAAAACACACTGGTCTGAGCCAGATGTGATGGACCTTTCTCTAAAACCAGTTTAAATTGCCTTTGTCAGGCACCAGGAGATCAGGTGCCTCCAGTTTACAGCATCTTCTAGGCTCCATCTGCATCTGCTCTCCCTTCCCATCCCTCTGCCTGCAATGCTGGATGCAACAGCTGAGTCAGAAGTTTGCATACACTGACGTGTGTAAGAGGTGTAGGTGTAACAAACAGAATGTGACAGGGATTGGCAAGGCGGTGATTTCTGTGGCGCCATCTGAGGAACCACAGGTAGTGAGTGGAAAGCTGCTGAACAGAACCTTGACTCAGCAGAAGGCAGTGACAAAACATTCACTGATTTTGTGAGGGTCAGGATTTTTCTCTTTATGAACAAGAATCAAACAAAAACACCTGGCTTCTGGAAATAGTGGTTTTAAGATACACCTGCCTTCTTTCAGAATTGTTGTTAGTGTTGATATGAGGGTGAATTGGGTTGTGTTTCTCAAACACATTCTTGGAGATCTCAGATCATAGAGGAACCAGGTTTTTGTCTGTAGAGAGACACTAGAAATTCTGCAGTGCCCTGAAGCTGCAGTGCAGAGTGGGCAAAGTATATGCATGCCATCACAGACGAGTATGTGTACACCTAAGTATATGTAAACATGCATAAGTACATGAGTGCGTTTATGGGTTTGGTGGTGCCTGAATATGCATATGCATCTATTTGTGCTCACCTGAGTTAGTTCCCAAAGCCCATCCTAGCAACAGTGCCGCGACTGCAGTCACCTGTTGTCTGTAACACTGAAACTTAACAGTGAGCAATGCAAAACGCACTGCCGTTGGCCTAGTAGCTGGAAATTTTACTTATCTATTTATTCAGATTTAATTTGAAACAGTGACTTCCGTTATGAATGCTATGCAGCATTTTATTACTGAGTTCTCTAATGAAACGGGTGCTTAAGAAGTCACAATTGCTCAGGTTACTGGTTGTATAAGTGCTGAGAAAGATCTGAATGATATGGGCAGTAAAGAAAAGGGTGCAGGGTAACAGCAGGGTTCCTTTGGATTGATCTCCAAATGGATCAGGTCTTCTTGTAATAGTATGTGCTCATTGCTCCAGTGTATAGTATTTCAGACACCTGAAACCAGGTTCTTACCCACCACAAATAGCTTCTCTTGCTCTCTGTCTGTAGCAGCTAATTGTTACTGCCTGCAGTCGTTCCTGTGCCAATTAACATCGAAGAGAACTCATCAGAACACTCGTTCTTTCTTTAAAGTTTCTGTTCCGACACCATGTCTTTAAGCGTTCAGTACTGTAGACAGAATGTGTGAGATATTTATAGCCCTTGTATTATTATTGAGCTACACACCATGTCTTCAGTGACAGATTAAATTCACAGCACAAAATGTTGTGTTTCACCCATAAATTTCAACAGATGTTTGAATGTTGGTTGATTTATTGCATGTCCAACTTGGATCTTACACTGTTCTCATTGTGGCTGCACATGGTTTATTTAATAGTACTTTACAACAATTTTTTTGTGGCATTTTTCAGTTTGAAGGGTGCAACAAGGCATTTTCTAGGCTTGAGAACCTTAAGATTCACCTCCGGAGTCATACTGGGGAGAAGCCATACCTGTGTCAGCATCCTGGCTGCCAGAAAGCTTTCAGCAACTCCAGTGACCGGGCAAAGCATCAGCGAACACACCTGGATACTGTAAGCATGATTTCATACTGGGAGTTGTGCTGAGTTTCCCAATGCTGCTTGTACACTGTCTGTTCTGCAACTGGAGGGTGACTTTGCCTTTTCATGAGAAGCATCTTAGGAAACTCAGCTGTAGGCAACTGTGCTTTTGTTTTGAATTGTGTGTGCTTTGAGAAATGGGAAAGCCTTGATCACAGAAAGGCAAGTTCAGCTGTCTTACTCATGCTGAGGAGTAAGTTACTCGAGACTAGGTTACTCAGGAATAAGTTACTCAGCAAACTCTGCCATTGTTCTTGTTCCAGGAAGAGGCAGCAGCAGTAGAATAAGGTATACTATGAGTGAAAGCTGAGTCATGGCTGCTGTAGTAAATGTGTGTCATTGTCTTGCTCCCTGTGCTGTGTTGCTTCAGTAAAGTCTGTTCTGAATGAATGCAAAAGCAGTTCGGACATCTCAGTGGGAGGTAAATGCATCTCAGTTTTGGACATAATTTTGTAAAGGTAAAAATACATCTGTCCTATAACTATGTGAAATTTGTGAACTACCCACCATCAGAATTAACTGTAAGAAACAAATTCTTTTCTTACGTACAGTTGGTGGATTCTGGCTCAACTCTACAAGTCTTCTCACTTGTCTTGCAGAGAAAATGGGAGCCTGTCTAGTGTCTTAGGCTCTAATAAAGTTAAATCACCATATTATGGGGAAAGAAATAGACAGCTTTGCAGACCAGTTGAGTTCTCAGCATAAAGCTTGTAAAGAATAACAGGCAGAGTTGTTCCTTTGTCTTTTTCAAAGAAGTGAATATATGGTTTAACGTTTGGCTAAGTGTTTATGGGGCAGAACTTCTGAGTTTAATTGATACTTACTTTTTAAGCAGTTACACATTTCAGACAGTGCAGCATTAAGGAATGTCTAATGTACATTATGCCTTGCAAAAACAAGCAAGTAAGAGAAGCGAGTCAGTCACATTTTCCAAACCAAAGCACACTTAGAATAACAATGTTTTATTTATGTGAAAGTCAACCTGAGATATTTGAATTTGTAATTAGTTCTAAAATGTGTCTTTTATGAAGGGGGATATAATAAAATGGGTGCACGGTTTTGAAATGTAATTGCTTGAATCTAATAGATATATTTTTATTAGCCAGTCACGAATGGAATGCCATTTATTACTTCGGAAAGAGAATACATTTACTAAAATGAGCAAAAATTCTTATATCTGTTGATCTGTGCATTATTGAAGACAAATCTCTTAACTTTCTATTTTCTTTTCTTCTCCCTCTATCTCTGTCTTTATTATCTGAAATGCTCATAAATCAGGAAAAAGGTACAGTAATAATTTTCTACTAACTTTCTTAAATGTCTAAAAACATCCTCCATGCCATTCTGTTGCAGGTTCTTTACAACTGTTTCTGTAGTCCTATAACACAGTAACTAACTGCCACTTACCTGGTTGAATTGAAGTCCAATGGCTTAGCGTGGTGTATTGTGCGCTTACGTGAATGTGAAAAACAACAGAGCGACAGGATGGTGCTGCTGTGAAGCCTGAACATTGCATTAGCTCAGTGGACAAAATAAGTGCCTGGAATGTCAAAGCAAATAGCCACGAACCCTTTTAAGGGTAGTTAGATTTTCGTCTAGTTTCCCTGTCACTAATTTAAATGACTCTATCACTAATTTGAATGACAACAATGATTTGAAAAATACTCTGCTAGTTTTTCTGCTAAGGGATTTGTTAAAGTTTTCCATAGTTTTTCCTCAGATGTCAGTTCTCTGTGTTCCAGACACTCTCAATAAATCTGCTTTGCCCTGTAACTTTCTGGGTAGGTGCTGTGTTAGCCTGTAAGGTCCTGAGTTGGTGAATGATTCTATTATTCCTTCAGAAATTTCCTGCTGGCTGGACAGAGCAGCAATACTTATCCTCTGGAGGTACTTACAAAGAAAAGGGGTTTATATAGACTGCTTGTCCTTACTTGAGTGCATTTGGAATCAGTTTTAAAGCTTCTCAATGTAGGTCACTCCATCATTTATCTTCTCCAAAAGGAGAACCTGTAAATCATTTCAGAGACTTACTGGTGTATGCTACTTTGATCGAATCTCTATTAAATCATCTGGAAGTAGATCCTTCTCCTGGGTAGAAGCAGAACAAAGGGAACATATCTGTCCTTGTGGTAAAAAGGGCCTGTCATCACTCCTCTAGGAGCAGAGCTTGTTTAGAGGACCTCACAGTCACTTCCAAAACCGGTGGGTTTTCTTCCCTTTGGTACATCCTTGTTCTGAAACTGAAGGGATTAAAGAACGTGACACTAAGGTCATGATAAACGAGTTTTCTACTTTTGGGAAGACACCAAAAGGACTTTCTAGTCCAAGTGAGAAGGCTAAGGTAATGTTGACAGATGAGGCAAGAAAACAGAGAAAAAAGGAATGTTCCGCTCAGCTTTAAAACTTGGTGAGCGCTGCCGTACAGCACTGTTTTGCTGTCACTTAAGTTAGTGGTTACTTAATAACAAGTGCTGGAGTCCCTTTGTTCAACTTGGTAATTGCACGCTCATTTGGAGGTTGGACTGTGACAGAGGCGATGTTTCATTTGTTGGGAGCAGGCATAACTAAGAGAAGAACTTGGTGAGGCTTCCAGTCATTGGGACTCCAGAATCAGTGGTTAAATTGGAGCATCCTTATTTATTTAATTATTTTCTTTTCCTATGAGAAGACTGTACTGGAACTGCCTGCTCACACCCAGGGGCTTTTCCCAGGAGACAGTGCTCCTACTGTGACACGTAGAAGTGGCAAGCTCTGCCGCATGCCCAAATCAGCTGGAAAGGTCTTCCCGACAGAATCAACAATAGTGGATTTTTCTTTCTGTATTGATTTACTCAGGTGTTAATGTTTGCTGCAGGTAGTTTGGTTAGGAGTTATAAAAAGAAAGATACTGCTGCTGTCACTCAAAACAGGAACAAGATATGACAGAAACCAAATGCGTGCTATGCCACAAGTTTTGCTCTGCCGCATAGGAACAGTTGTTGTAAAAACTCTCTAAATCAGAACTCAAAACTAGAGCTTCTGTATTTGTAATTATACTGGGTGATCTCATGATCATTGTGTCTCCTGTGAAGGCTAGAAAAAAGCAATGCTCTCAAAACCCATCCAGTTACATCTCAATAGCATTTCATTCAGCCCAGTAATCAATATCTGACATGACAGTATAGATGTGTCAAGTGCTGTCAGTGCTTGCCCAGAGTGCAAAGTCAGAGCGATCAATGCGGTTCTTCCGTTTGCATCATGTCTGCCTTATGTACGTAGAGGGGCCAGAGCAAGTCTGGAAACAGCAAACAGAGCAAACAGCTCAGGCTTAACACTGTGTTTCACAGAAACAGCCATCCTTCAGCACTCTGTGTGTTGACTGTACAGATGCAGAGGAATATGAAATCTTTTCTCTTTCCTCCCGTTTACAGAAACCTTATGCCTGTCAGATTCCTGGCTGCTCCAAACGCTACACCGACCCCAGCTCTCTGCGCAAGCATGTGAAAGCTCATTCAGCCAAGGAACAACAGGTGCGTAAGAAGGTAAGACCCACCAGGCAAAAAGTGACACATCTCCAGATCTCCTCAATATAGTTGCTTTTAATTTATCTTTAGTTTATGTATTTTCAAATCAGAGTTCTTCAGCAATATCACTAGAAGAAAATTTAAGTTGCGCTGGTTTTCCTGTTGGTTTTTAATCACTCCTGTTAACCAGACCACTTCATAGTTTTAGACTTTCAAGGCTAACTACCCGGTAATTTCACTTTGCCCTACACTTTCTCTCCAAGCATTTCTTTCCTGTTCATCTTTCATACACAAGCCCAAATTCCACTGTCATTCACGTAACGTGTCCATGCATTGAGTCTCTGCAATCAGCTAGTAAATGCATGTTGGCAGATCATCTAAAACACAAATGAAACTAAGCCAGGATACTATGGAAATGTCATATATAAGGATATATATAAGGAGCCATATAAGGAGCACTTATAATAGATGAGAATGAAAACCCCTACTTTTCCCACCACATCTGTATTTTAAATGCATTTATAAATCATTCCAAACCCAGACTGCTAGTTATGTTTTCACTGCTGTTCAATTCAAATAATCATTTTGGTTTCTGTGGGCTAAACCCTGAGATCATTATTAAATAGTGATGCTTGCGGGCGCTAGCCCAGGATCAGAGACATGTTTATTAGCCATTTGTACACACAGTTTTTAAAAAGATGATTGGGACCCCACAGAGCTGGTCTGTGACAGAACAGACCATGAGCATACTTCAAGCCCAGGAGTGGAAGGGAATGCAAGCCTTAGCAAGCAATTAGTTAGTTCATTAAGCAGCAGTGACGTCTTCCCCCAGCTGCCTCACCGATGCCAAGAGCATGATGGATGAGACAGCAAGGCATGTTTAAAGGATGGAGGACAGAGCAGAAATGACAGCTTGGCAAGATAGAGCTAGGGAGCAGCTAGTTTGGGAAGATGTCAAAGGTAAGAACTAGAGTGACTGGAGAGCAGAGAGCAACATGTGGAAAGAAGAGACAATAGCAGAACCCAGGTGATTGTAGTTGCAGAATTTGGGATGAGCCCTGGAGAAGTGATGGATGTTGAAAAGGCCTAATTTTCTTGATCGAATACAACTGTGATGAGTTCATACTGATTTGTCCTTGTGTCAGCCATGCCCCCTGTCTTACACCCCTTCCTTCCCGCTACTTCTCAGCATGAATTATATCCCCTACAGTTTTTACCTGGCTAGTTTCCCCAGTCTGAACTTAGTCCCCTTTCCTAGGACATTCGTCTCTCCCCCAGTTCTTCCATAACCCTTCTCTGCGTCAGGTGCGTGCTGAGTGACAGTTTCTAGAACACCAGTGTCCAGAGTTGTGCACACAAGTTCAAAGAGTCAGTCAAGAAACACTCATTACATGCTGAGCTTTGTGCCTGGGAGTAGCACCGTTCATACCCAGCACCCATCTAGATGTCCACGGAATCAAGTTGTCTCTGCCTTGATCAGGTCCAGTCAGAACTCTCCTTTAGCCTGGCAGGACTGGAAAAGACCACCTAGTTTTCAAGCCCAATTCTGTATTACGAGGCCGTGTGATTTCACTACAGCTCTCTAGAAGGTTCCACAGGGTGTGCTGTGCACACGCCTCCCACGCCACAGGTCGCATAATTCCCAGTGCTTCCTTAGAGCAACCTTTAGGTCTTAATGAGAGGAGGAGTCAGAAAGCCATAGCAGTAATTGCCCACAGAAAGAGGTTGACTGTGGCACCAAAGTCTTTTGCAATAGCAAGATCTTTGCAACAGGTAGATTTTGTTACATGAAATTCTCAGCTGATTGTGGAAAGCAACTGTGCTCCCTAGTCGAAAGGAGAGAGCCCCCAATCTTTCCTTCCTGTGGCTGCTAAAATACTTCTTGGGGGAAGGAATGAATTATTTCCTAATACCGAACAGGAGTATCATTTGTTCAGCCCTGTGTGTTGGGCTGAGTGCATTAATGTGCTAACATCCTTTACACTTGGACAAAGGAACAGTCCCCACTGTTACACCCTGTCACCTGCTGAGGCCTATTTCCAGTTCTACGGGGGAAGGCGGGAAAAAACTAAATCCAAACTTTGCATTAAGGGGCACAAAGTACTTCCTGCGTAAGCAGCAGGAGGCCTTAAGGATAGGATCAATGCAGGACAAATGTGGTACACGCAAATTGCAAACTCAGGCTTCTTGGATGTACCAAGATGTCAAATATCCAGGGTTTCATATCTCTTAATCTCCTAGCTTGAGGGATTTTCCTGCATGCATATACATACCCTCCCATAGACTTATCAAGTCTATCTTAAAATAACGTTAGTTCCTTGCCTCCCACACCTTATTTGGTAGACCACTCTAAATCTGCACTCCTCCATCTTCAGATTTCCTGTCTCATTTATCCATGATAACTTTATGAATACTTGATCCTGTGTCTTTTTTTCTTGAACTTAAAAGGCATCTGAAAAAGCAGCAGATTTAAAGTGCATTTTGATCAGGCTCTCCTAAAAGGGACCAAAGCAAATCTGACTTATAAAGAAACTGCCCAAATATTTCACTTAAACGTATTACAGGGAAAAAAAAACAACTTTCAGAACTAAGTAAAACTCAGTGTTACTGAAATGGTGAGAGTCTACTTTGGAAAAAAGGGGAAAAGACTGTTTATACTCAGTTGCTCATTTTTGGTTATAGCTCGGCAAAAGCAGTTGTCGGTTGGTATCAGCTTCCCAGGAGTTCTGAGTGGAAATGACTTAGCCAAGAAAGGAAAATTAACAGGCTGCTCTGCCCACATCTCTTGGTTGAGATATGCTACCAAAATGTGCCATCTCTGATGTAAAATAAAATGCTGGAGCTTTGACTTAAGGAATCCTGAATATTTAGTTCGTAGCCTAGAGGATGACTGCAGTGGTAATATTTTGTTGTTCTGAAAGGCTTTGCAAGAACAAAATAGGAGAAAGTTAGCTGTTAATTTAGTAGTAGTTTAAGTTTAATTGGCTGCAGATGCACTTTGTGATCCAAATGTTAGATGTTTATCTTGAACCAACAAATGGCTGTATAGCAGAATTCTAAATAGGTTTGCCTGGACCTTTCTATTTAGAATAACCAGACCCAGGGGAGATCGGTATGCAAAACTGTAAACGTAAAGACAATAACTATTTATTAATGGCTATAGAATATGATGGCTGTTTGTGTAATGTGAGCACGATATTATGACAAAAGCTTGGCAACGTCAGCGTGTTTGAAAGAGAATTAGAAATGCTTTTCTTTCTTAATTCTCCTCTCCTGCTGTTTTTAATATGATCGACATTGTGGTTTTCAAGAGTTTGCTTCAGACGCTTTTGCCAGAGCTTTAATTTACATGGAGAACAGCTGACGTATCGGTGATACCTCTTACACATTACTGACAGCGTATTATTCCATCAGTTCTAATCTGATAAGCGCAAATGCTTTT